AAAATTAGTAATAAGCTACTTATGTAAACTATTTATATCATGATTTCTAAACTGATAGATTAGTATTATTGTGAATAATGATGCATGTGATGCCCGTAAGAAGTAATGCCTGTAATGTATGTGTTATAATATAAAGTGATAAATAATTATACATGAGAAAATGATACCCTAGTGTAAAGTAGAGGCTTGTGGCCCTACTTTATGTAAAGCTAAGAAGTCCTAGTCTAGAATGTTGATTGTGATCTACTAGTGGGACTCAAGATTGCATGAACATTCATTGTGAAAAAAGGTAAGAGTTCACCTTGTAAAGACGTGTAAACTATGGTCATAGCGTGTATGTGACACTTATACCCTATGTACCATAGCCAACGGGCATAGTTAGGCTACTTCTTGTTACTTTGTGAGTGATTAGTAGGAAAAGTATTTGATGCCCCACCAATTAGTTATAGGGAATCCATAGTCTAAAGGTGGTAAAGAGGTACTAGCCTTACTTCTTCTACTAATGATGAGCTTGGACTAATTAGAGAGGTGTTATGTATAACCTATAGGTTTAGTTGGGAGATCTGAAGGCTTGGTGAATACTAGTGAAACATACTTATATATTGACATTTATACATGGAATTATTGCATATATATATATATATATATATGTTTTATTTGTGAAAGTAATGCTACTCTATCTCTTCTGCAAAGTTTTACTTGTTAATTGATACTTTGTCTTATTCAAGTTACTGAGTCTTTTGTCTCACTCTATTACTTCATGCTTACAAGTGCTAAGAGTCTGAAGAGGCTAAGAAAGGAAACGCGAGAAGAGTAGATGTGTTTATACATATTGTAATGCTACTCTTAAGCAACTAAATGTATGTTTGTGTAATGTGTTTAAGTTGCCAAATAGGATGTAATATATATATATATATATATATTGTTCTAAATGTAAACATCTTTCATGCATCTTCTCTATTTATGTAAGTATGTGTAAATATGATGGGTGGCTTAGATGCTATTACAAGCATGTGTATATATGTATCTTGTGAAATCTTGCTTTATAACATGTGATAAGTGATATTTCTCTTGCTTGTGGTGCCTACAATGCAGGTTCTTATGTAAAGCTAGAGGTGTGTGTTAATGAGTAAGATTTAAGAATTGAAATCAGTTAACTTGTTTCACTAATATATTATATGTGTTTTTGTGATATTGTGTACATGTATGTGAATTAGATGTTAATTCTAAACCCTGACTATATGGCAAGGCTTAGCCTATATGTGCAAGTTAGGTGCATGTGAGTGGAACAAGTGGAATTATTTATGTGTGATAGTGTTTTTGATTATTCATATTGTTATGGAGATCTCATGTAAGCCCACTGGGTGAAAGATTGCATTGAAAGATCAAATTAGGTATATGAAGCATTGTATGTGATATGATGTATTAATCAAGTATATTTAGTCCTTTTGAACTTAGCTCAAGGCCCTAAATGGTCTTATGGAGAAAGGAATGAGATTTAAATGCTTGATATGCTCATTTTCAAAAGAAAAGTGCCTTTTTGCACCCAGAGTGTTCAAATCGAGTTTGGATCGTTGGATTGTGTTTGCACTTTCTTTATCAGTTAGCTTGTTCCACGAGCTTTGTATGGGTGTTTAAATCACTCCTATCAAACGTCAAATGTGAAAATGGCACAATTCAAAACTTCATATCAATTGTGCTTTGTGATAACAGTCTGATATGTGTGCCACGGCGCATGGTAGTATACTATGATACATAACACAGAGCTAGAACTCATAGCTCTATACCACATGCTCAGTGCATGTGGTACATGCCACAGTGCATGGTTCATTTTGAAGAAAAATAAATGTTTTGATTCTTATTTCAAGGGTAAGGTGCTTATGCTGTCCTAAATGTTTCCTTTGTGCATTTCTAACCTAAAGTTGGGATCCCTAATTTTCAAAGCAATTGTTTTGAGTCTTGTGATTGTTTAATATAGTGTGTGGTAGTATGTGTGACTTTATAGAAAGTGCCAAGGCTTAGGATTTAATACTCCTAACTGATAGTTGCCAACTAGAAGATTTCATAATTTTTACTTACTAGCACTATTGGTTGATTTGAATGATGTATTTTGGACCTTAGGTTGTATGTGTGATGATTGTGATATCTAAAGAGGGCCAAAATACTAATGCAAGTAAGGCAATTATATAAATGCATAATTATGATGAGTTTTATGATGATTTATATGAAATTGACCACCTTTTATTTTTAGAACAAGGGGTGGAGAGTTGAAAATATGATGTATTGTAATATTGTGTTCTTTTGGTATATTTCACATATGCCTTTTAGTCTATTAAGTGTGATCTAGTGGTAATTGTGAGCCCTTAGCACTTGGAAATGAAATTAGACAACCTAGTTGTGATTTAATTGTGAAAAGGAGTGAGTTTACAAATAGGTGTCTAACTTTTAATTGAGAAACTATTTGTGAATGAACCAGTGTCATTAGATAAAAACTCTAAAAGAGTTTTCTGTAGATACTTATATCACATTAATGAGATGTTAAATGAGGAAATGGGATACATCGAAAGTTTGCCTTAGATGCTATCAAATTGAAAGCATTAATGTTGTCATTATGTGCAATGCACTGCAATGCATGGCAAAGATAGGAGAAGCCATGACACATTGGAGACAAACTGCAGTGCATCCTCCTATATGTATTGAAGCTCTGTTTTCTACTTTAATGCAAATGCTTTGAACATAAATTGGTATCTCATGCTTCCATATATAGTTTACTCTAATGTTGGCTTATGAAAGTTATATTACAATAGTTTTAAAAATTGAAAGCTTAGAATCTTGTTTCTATTATTTTTAATACTTTTGAAACCATATTGAGTTTCTACTAAGCTGGTGATCCTTATGGGTTAACACATGATTACCCTAGTCATTGTGACTAAGTAATAAATTAGTAAAGGCAGCCTTACAACTTTAATTTAATCCTTCTTTAGAACGTTCAATTAATAAATCTGTTTCTATCATCTTTGCTTTACTTGATTGCTCAAATGATTTTCATATTAGCATTTCAAAAGTTTACTGATTTCAATTTTGTTATTCACTATCTTTGTAAACTTGATTTACATTTCTTATCAAGTGTTTTATAATCCTCTTGCAACTAAAGTATTTGAAATTTATTACATTGCTTTTTATAAACTTCAAGTTGCACCTTCAATTGAGCAAATTTTTGTGAAAGATTTAGTTTTAATCGAAAATTTATAAAAAACCTAATTCGCTCCCTCTTAGACGTAGTTGCCTGATCTAACACCTAAATCCTCAAATGAATTTTATAGATGTTACACAACAAGGCCAAGCTTCAAGGATAACTACAATCACAACATAAAAGAGGCACCAAATCCTAATGCACGTGCATTTTATAACATGTTGTATGCTACACAACAACTCTTATGGGAAGGTTGTCATGATAGTCTAAACTTTCAACTATGGTATGCTTATTAAATATTAAAGCAAACTACATGTCATGGCAAACTTACAATGAAATTTCATGGTTTGTGAGGGCTACAAATCTTAAAGGCACTCGTATGCCACATGAATAAGATCAAACAACTTCGAGCCAAGCCAAAACATAAATAGGCTTGGCCAAAATACTCAAATTTTTTTTTATTAACAAAATGAAATTGACCTTTATTAGAAACCTTTTCCCAAACCCCTAGTTCACACACTTCATACTTCTAATTGAAGTTTTAATGTTCTAATAACGGTTTGTTTTGAATCTTTTTTTAAAATGTCATGGAAGAAAAAAGACAAAAATGTTACTCCATATATTTTCACTTTTACTCTTTCAATACTTGGTCTCACATTAGTAAAGGTAACAAATGGTGTGTTGTAATATTATGTTGCTTGAAACATCTTAATTTCTTAAGGTAAAGATTGAAATTATTCTAAAAAAAAAAGGAAAATAAAAAAATCTAACAATTTAAATATTTGGATTAACCCAAATAAGTATGACAGTTTGAGGTGTAAGAGTTGGTATAGTTATATGGGTTTTTTATATATTTAAGCCCAACCCAAATAAATTCAATTCAAGTTGAGCTCGATTTAATGTCAAAATTACCAACTCTAATTGCAATGATGTTACTACTACTATTCTTTTCTCTCTTCCTAGCATTGTTAATTGAGCAAATGATATTTTGGTATTCAAAATTTTAATATAGAAGGATGATTATTCTAAAGGTCATAACCTTTTTTTTTAATTATCTATTTAATCTTTAGACTTTAACTTTAACTAGTTCAATTTTAGTAGTTTTATTCACTCGAAACAACTAAGTCCTTGTAATTTTTTAACTCAAAATAATTCAACTATTATAATTTCTTAACTCAATAAACTATAAGAATTGGCTTTTTATTGAGTCCAAATTCAAAAACTAAATTAATAATGAAGAAATTTTAAAAATTAAAAGTTATATTTTCTCTTATTTTAAAATTTCAAAATCTTTTTGCAATAATGCTCCTTAAACGACTCTGTAGTGACATCTACATGCATATTTTTGGATCATAGGATCTTACTAACATAATTAACATCAACCAATATATGATACCAACTATTTATTCTCAATAGAAATTCAAAATTCTCAATCTGATGGTGGCACATACAATGTTTATGTGGGCCTAAGGCTATGATATCTATATTAACATGAACATACGTTTCATCCAAGTCTTGAAATTTCTTGACAATTTCAAGAACATAACGAAAATATAATCCAAGATACAGAATCATAATACATAGAATAAAATGCAAATGTCATTACAAACAAAACAACATAAAGTGTAAAGTAACTTCAAACAAGGGCTAATTTAAAACAAAGTATCAATAGTAAATTCAATTAAAAATTCAAAAGAAACCACGGACTCATAACAAAATTCAGCATTGCCGCAATTGAATTCCAGCAATTATGAGACAGAGTGCCTATATCTCAATGGTCATGAGGGCTGAAGTTCCGACTCCACTTTCAGAACGTACACACGAAATCTCTTTTTATCCTTGGAGCCCAGGCCAAACTTTTCTTCAAAAGCTATTAAATTACACCCACGCCAAAATTATTAGTTGTCAGAAGAAACTACTAAATGTAAACTACAAAAGGTACAATTGTTAGTCGGTCTCATGCTTTTCATTTTCCAAATTTACATGGTCCTTTTCATGTTAAGAAAAATGGATTAACAATTGAACTGGTAGTAGAGACATTGGTTGCATGGTTCAATAATTGCACTATAATCAAACTAGTCATAAATCAATTAATTTATTTTAGACAATATATGCTTAAAATGAAAAGAAATAATCATCCATAATATTTAAAAAATATTTAAATTCAAAAGAATAATACATAGTTAAAAAAAAAAGTAATGTCCATCAAAATTTTATCACTTCAGGCCAAAAAAAAAATCAACATTTTACCCCAGTCGTCCAAAATGTTGATACTTATTTCATAATTTATAATTTTAGAATACATGCACAAATATTTCCTTAATATTTGCTCATTTTTCTTCTTTCCCCTTGCTTATTTGATATATTACAACAAGAAGCATTGTCTTACAACAAGAGGTCAACTATATCAATTACACAATACTATTGTACTCTATTAAAAACCAAGCTTATTTGATATATATATATATATATATATACATAAATTGTAATTTCTTTTCTTAACCTTGATTAATTAGGTTAAAATATCCTACAATTTAAGTCACGACTCACAAATTATAAGTATCAAGCACCGATACTTTAAATTACCTCACATATCTATATCAATATCGTATCTAATACTGATACTTCTTCAATGCGTATCCATAAAGTATTGAAGTAATATTTTTTAATTTTTAAAAAGTCTAATTTTTGATACGTATGGGATATTTCTAGATTGCTAATCGATACTTGAAAAACAAAAATTTAAAAAAGAATAAATTTATTAAAATTTGCAATATTAAACTTTTTATTACTAATATCATTTTTAAATTTTCTTTTAAAGTCAAAAATTAGATTTTCCTTAAAAAATAAGTTTTGGATGCAACAAAAGATTAAATATTACATTTTTATTAATTATAAAAATGTGAAAATGTAATCTTATGATGGTCAAGAAATAAGAGATATTGATATTATACCTATTAGTAAGGACTAGGTGGTAGGCAGTGAGGTATAAATAAAATAAAACTACAACTAATAATTATATTTTACTTGGTATTATTATAAAGGACTATAAATGTAAGCTAATTTAAATATTTTTCAAATTAAAAGTATATTTTTAATATTTTTTATAAATACATATACATATATCGAAAACTTGTCATATCTTATATTTTTAAAAATTAAAGTATCGACATTACGCGTATCAATATCCATGCAACCTAAATTATAACAACAACAATAAACCTTATCTCACTAGATAGGATTGGCTATATAGATTGCACAACGCCATTTTATTCTATCATCAATCAAGCTTTTATGAAGAAATTCAAAAAGAAAGAAATTTCTTTGTTAAGGGCCCATAAATAAAATAATTTATTTTACCAACAACATGTAGAATTTGCTCTTTAACCGGGAGGGGAACGGGAAATCTTAGGAAAGTTAACTGAGGAAAAATTCGATGCTCTAGAATTTTGAAATACTTTGTTGAAATAAAAGACTTACTCGACATTTGCTTGGGGGACAAAGATCTGGGGGGATTTTGAGTTCTCTGCTCCCTTCGTACTTCATTCCAATGATTCCTTGGTCAATTCCTACTTGAGAATAGGAGAATAATCAGCTCCACAATCAATGAAATTGATTCTATATATAAGAGTTTGTCTTAAAAATAAATTTGAAAGCGCTACTTTTTAGGGAGAATGACCAAAAAAAAATACCCCTACAATATGAAAGTGACAAATAAGTACTGCGTTTGATAATTAGAGTTTTTACGAAATGATATATTTGCCCTCAATTAAAAATTTAAAATAAAAAACAACTTTAAAAAAAATTAGTGACTACGTTTGTTTGGGTTATTGACTAAAAAGCAACAGAAAATGATAAGTTCTTTTTTGCCAAGTTTGTTAATCAGTCCAATGCAAATGCTAAAAATCAATTACTAGTTACAACTGAAAAATGACTACTTTGTTTGGAGAAATAACATCATTTGAGTAGCTAATGACAAGTGTTTTCTAGAAATTCTATCATATCAGTCGAGTCCAAGCACTAAAATTCAATGACTTGTTACAGTTAGGAAATGACTAATTTGTTTGGAAAAGTCACTATAGCTGTGACAAGTGCCTCTGCAAAAATTTTTATCAATCAACTCAACAACAACAACAACAACAAGAACAAGCCTTTATTCTACTAGATGGGATCAGCTACATAGATTGCAAGATGCCATTGTCCTCTATCATTTACCAAGCTTTTAGAAATATTATTAATTAAAAGATTGCTTTCCACAACTTCCAAGAGTGTTCTCTTAAGCCTTCCTCTACCCCTCTTAACAAGGCTTAAAGTTATATGTTCCACTCTTCTCACTGGTGCCTCCCGCAGTCTTATTTGTATATGCCCAAACTATTTCAAATAATTTTCTACCATTTTTTCCTCAATTGGTGCTACCCTCACTTTTTCGCGTACGTGCTCATTTTGAATTTTATCTTTACGTGTATGTCCGCACATCCATCATAACATTTTCATCTCTGCTACTCCAATTTTATGTTCTTGTTATCCCGTTAGAGCCCAGCATTCACTACTATATAACATAGCGGGTCTAATAGCAGTACGATAAAACTTTCCTTTAAGTTTATTAAGCACTTTACGGTCGCAAATAACTCTTAGTTTTTCTCCAATTAAACCACCCAACTTAAATCCTATGTAAAATATCCCCAATTTTACTTTCAAATATCTAAACTTTTCCACTTGAGGTATTATTTGATCTCTCAATTTCACTTCCAAATTACGGTCGACTAGTTTCTTACCAAATTTACAATATAAATATTCTGTCTTACTCCTACTCAGATGAAAACTTTTCGACTCTAATGTCCTCCTCCATTACTCTAGTTTATCAATCAAGTCCAAATTAAAAAAAAAAAATCAGTGATTATTTTGTTTGGACTATTGACTAAAACAAAATAGAAAATTTTCTTTCATTTTTGTCTACCAGTCAACTGCATCTACTAAAAATCAATTACTAGTTAAGATTGGAAAATGACTACTTTGTATGGAAAAGTGAGAGTACAGCTGAATAGCAAATGACAAATGCCTCTCAACAAATTTTAAATTCGGGGCAAATGTCATTTGGCAAAAAACCAAAATGTCAATCAAGTCTCTGGGGACTACACAATAATTATCACATTCAGTGGTACTTATTTATCATTTGCATGTTTAAGGTGTATTTTTTGTCATTTTCCTTATTTTTATTGTTATATTTTTCATTTTTTTAATAAAACACATAAAGTTTATAACAGTCAACCAGTTATCGAAGAAACTTGGTCTATGATAGATGCAGCAGTAATAACAGCAGCAAAATTCATACCCTGGCCGCATTTGTTTTCTCCCAAAATCAGTTCCAGAGGGCCCTTTTCAACTTCAACTTTGCCAGTATTACTTAACTGTTGAAACTTGATTCTGACCTATAATTGAACAATATTATACATTACATTCAATTGAAAATTGAACAAAAATAACATTAGAAGAACCACATATTACTTTAAATCCGTAGAGATCATGAGTAACAAACTAGAAGGATGACAATGAAGCAACCGAGAAAAGGAGAAAAAGAAAGGCGGAAAAATTGGCCACAAGGACCAAAAGGCTTAAATATTTGGGCATTAGTCCCAAATTTTGAGATAAAGCCTGCAAGGGACCATGGACCATGCCAGTTTTTCCAAGAAAGAATACAACCTTATCCCCTTCTTTGGCAGCTCGCTCACCGAGGCCCAGTGGACGATCAATGAATTCAACTTCTGATTGATCAATGCCTGCATCCACAAGTTAACCATAAATACTTTCTTTTATTCAATTCGAAATGAATCTTCAGCTAAATGTATAACCTCATTACTAACATCTTCACCAAAATGTTTTTTCTACTAATTAATGCTTTTTTGGCAAAACTTGGGCTTTCCAAATAAATTTTTCTAGATCAATTCTAGCTCTATCTCAATAGTCAATTTTTTTTCACAATATTTTTTCCTTGCAATAAATGCTCCTTAGATGATTCTGTAGTGACATCTACTGATCTACATGCAAATATTTATTCTCAATGGAATTCAAAAATTGTCAATCTGATTATGCTACATTTAGGTGGGCCTATGGCAATCGCCTAAAATGGCATTGCCATCTTATTTTAGGATCGAAAAACCATATATCAAAGGTGTAGCACTAAACATAACATCAAACACAGTGATAATTATTACTTATAATTATTATTATATTGGGAAATAACAGAATAATTACCTTGTTGATTCACATTCGAATCCTCCGGTGTCACCGTCGATCTCACAGAATGTCCCCTATGCAAGGAATGTTTTATTCTCAATTAAGAAAAAAAAAGTGTATCTTAGAAGAAAACAACTGATGCATATGTATCTTATTTCTTATCCCATGTTTACACAGTAAGGATATTAAGTATTTCTTCAAAAAATGTTTAAACAAATTGTATTTCAATGCATAATCTAATCTTCCTAATATATTTACTTGATCTAACAACAACGGTTTGCAATATATATAAAATGATTACAAGTTCAAATGAAATTTTCAAACTAAGTGTTAGCAGATATAATCTCACCAAACTTGCAGAAGCGAATGTAGTATACTCTTTATCTAGAGGGCGATTCACCTTCAAATAGTTAAAAATATGAAACCAGCGTTCAAATAGATTCACCTTAGCATTAAGGGTAGTGAATAATAATAATAAAACTACTGGTAGGGAATTAATTTGGTTCCCTTTCCAGAGTCCTTATGATCAATTCTCCAAAAAAACAAAAAACAAATAAGGTAATGTAAGCAACCAACCTTGTGCAAAGTAAAAGGTTAAAGGACACAAATTGTCAAAAGCTTAAGACCAGATCCCTGAAGTAAAAGAAAGCAGTGCATAGAGAGATATATTCAAATAATTAAGGATGCAATCTGCCTTATTTTAGACAATAATATTCACCTGAACATAAGTAAAACTTCATCTATAAACAATGATATCCATATTTGACTCCAACCTCTTTGCCTCTTACTCCTATTCATAAATCTCATACTGTATGTTGATATGCTGGGAGCAGGATGAAGAAATTGAATATTTTATTGTTGGTAAAAAGCTCTCGATTAGTAGATTTCTAAAACTGTACTACTGTTATCTGTTATGTGCAAACTCTAAAAGTAAGAATGAACATACCTGATTAGACCGCTGATTGTTGCCATGCCAATGGTTTCCCCTGAGCTATATGCCTTTTGCGAGTGGATTACAGTCTTGACTGGACTGATAGTAAACGCAAAACCACTGCAAAATTGCAAAACCCAACAAATAGACTTGAGTAGAATTAGACAAATGGTGAAACTAGACATGAGCTAAACAGAAAATCACTCATTATTATGGCATGTATTATTCCAGACACAGGCAGATCCAGGAGCTAATAAATGTGTTCAAGTTGAAAATAAAAAACGAAGTGGGAGGGCCAAAATCAATTTAAAAATATTTTTACAGCAAAAAATTCCAATATTTTTCCAAGGATGATGATAGAACCCTCTACTCTAATAAGCTTATATCAAACAAAAATCAGAAATAGACTAGTAATGTGGAAGTGATAAGTGCATTATTGAATAATAAAGTTGGATTACAAGGGAAATAATGATTCAACCCAAACCCATCTCCCTCATAGACCCATACACTAAACTAAATCAAACACAGGTACAGAGTTCAAGGATCAGCATAAAATTCAACAGAAACCTAGAGCATAAACCTCTCACTAACACACACTAGAACAGAAAGAGAAAATGATGGAGAAAAATGATCTTCCTCCACCCCAATCTATCATTTGAGAGGAACTCTTCTCATCACTCTCAATTTTCAAAAGATCACCCCTCTTTGGATGAAAGGAAAGATTTAGATAGCCAAAAAGTAGTCATTACCCCCATAACACTTACCAATACCTCTAGCTATAGCTAACCTGATTTGTCTTTCACCATTTTAATCTTACAGTTATTAACCTTGGGATAAATCTCTTGACCACTGGTGTTAGCCTTCCCTAAATCATGTCCAAATAATTTGGGAACTACCAGCTCTATCATATGATTGAAGATTTGAAGTGTGAGGGGCAAGAACCCCTCCTTGTCCCCACTTGGATCTGTCCCTGTCCTAGACCAGGGATAGATTCAGGAGCTAATAAATGGGGGCTAAATTGAAAATAAAATGTGAAGTGGGGGCCATACTCTACTTAAAATTTTTTTACAAAAAATGTTCCAACTTTTCCCAAGGGATGATTGAAGTTTGGGGGGCAAGCAACCCTCCATGCCCCCTTTGGATCAGTCCCTGTCCTTGAGAACCTAGACCAGGGACAAATTCAGAAGCTAATGAATGAGGGCCAAAATTGATTTTAAAATTTTTTACAAGTAAAAATTATAATTTTTCCTAAGGATGATTGAAGGGGGGGGGGCCAGCCAACCACCCATCAAAGCCCCCTGGATCTGTCCCGATCCCAAAGATCCAGACTTGCTGTCACCTTCAAGGTAATCGACAAAGTAGTGCCTCAAATTAAAAATACAACATTTAGCATATATGGATATATTAAGCGGTGTAACGGATTGTCTTGATGTTTTTTGGGGGGGGGGGGGGTTTCAGGTCTGAGGGTGAATAAGAAACAATGGCTTTCTTTTCTAAGAATGTTAATTGGGATCAGCAGAAGAGTTTATGTATTTTTGTAGCTTTAGTTGAAAATAGAAATTGGGGAGATACTTGGGGAGCTTACATTACACATGGTAGGAATGCAAGGGGAAGATACCAGTTTTTGATTGATAAAATTCAGAAGAAACTAAGTGAGTGGCAAAGGATTAACACCTGTTCAGTCGGTTACATCTCATATGGCTATTTTTCACATGCAATGGAGCTGTGGAAGACACATTGCATGTACTTAGAGATTGTGGGTGGCTGAATGGGTGTGGTGTGCTTCGGGAAGGCTAGAGGTTGATGTTGCATTCTTTCAATCGCAACAAGTGTGTTAGTTTGTCCCTAAACTTTCTATCTCACGAAATAATTGGAACCTGATTTTTGCTGTTTGTTGCTGGAAATTGTGGTTTTGGAGGAAGAGTACTATGATTGAGGCGGATTTTGTAATGCCTTTCGAGCCACATTTTTATTCTGAATTTTGTTGACGAAGTTTTGCATTGCCGTAACATGTTAGGAAACGATGGGTGACTAAACAGATTGTGGATGTGCTTTGATTGAAGCCAAGTAGAGGATAGTAGAAACTGAATTTTGATGGGGCTGTGTGTCGGTCTTTTATGGCAGGTTATGGCCGAATGTAGGAGTGCTCTTTAGGGTTTAAAGTTGGCAAGGCAACTGGGCATTCAACAGTTGGAGGTGGAAGGGGACTTAAAAGGTCGTGAGTGTTTGTCAAATCTATACGAAGGAAATGGGACAGCGAATCATATTCAATGGCTCATTAAGCATAAACTTACTGCCGATTTGCGGATGCATTTTTTACATACTTGTATAGGGAGGAAAATACTTGTGCTGACTGGTTGGCTAATTGTAGTTTCCTCAAGATTTTCAGGCCACGCGTTCTTTTCTTTTCTTTTCTTTTCTTTTTTTTTTTTTTTTTTGGTTTTTCAGGTCGGTGATCCACTAGATGAGTGTAAAGAGTTGTTGTTCAGGGACTCTTTAGGATATCATTGCCTGAGGCCTCAGGGGGGCTTTTGTCATAGTTTAATAAGCATATGGCGCCGTTTTTTACCAAAAGAAAAGAAAGAAATACAACATTCATAATATTGGATCCCAACTCAGCTCTGACAACAGTGAAACTGTTTTTCTAAAAGCAACAAATAAAATACCTGAGAGGACGACGGTGGAGTAGGTGGCAATGGCTGGAGCTCCACTAAACGATGCGCGAGTGACAGGAGTGAAGCGATCGAGGAAGCTACTGTTAACCTCTATTTGGATGGAGTGAAAAGTTGAGGGGAAAGAAAATGAAATGAAAGAAAACAAAAAAAAATAAAAAGAAAATATTATCACTCTTCCAGTCTAGGTAGAAAGAAAAAAATAAAAAAAAAAAAAATGAACAAATATTATAATAATTATAATGTTCTTATATCAAAATATATTATATTTCATGTAATTATACTTGTAAAAATAAATTGAAAGCAAAAATTATATTAAAATTAACATAATCCAATTAACATATACTGTTTCATGTGATGGGATCCTTCCTATAGATCATGGCAAAAGTTATAGAAGTTATGGTCATATCCAAAAATATATTTATGTCATTATCAACTTTTTCTTGCATTAAATCTAACTTAATTCTACTATCTTCACACATCTCAGCAGCAAAACCCGATGGTAGACATTTTCTAACCTATGAACTGCAGGTTCAGAGCATGGAGTAAAACAAAGAATAATCTTGCAAATGCAAATGAATTGGTTAGTATCAACCTTTTTTGCAATTAACCTCACTGAACGCTTACTACTTCCATGTCAAATCTCTAAGGCAAAACCCAAAGGTAGATATTTCCTAAGCTCCACAGCGCAAGCCTAGAGCATGTCTCATCTAGGATGCAGCAAAAAATCACAATTTTGCAAATGCAATTATAAAATAGTTCTAATATAAAAGAACACCTTATATTTGATTAAATGATTAACGAAATAGGAATCATGATATGAATTTAGAAAGCCAACATCATGAAATGAGCTATATTGATCAGGTATGAAGAACAAAACAACACACAATCCAACATCATGAAATCAGTCCAGCAAAATCGTTCATTATTACTTCCATATTATCAAAAAAAGATCAAACAAAACATGAGCTAAACACCAAAATGAAAACAATATTACAATTCTATCCTGTAATAAAGTTGGTGGTTAATTCTGAATAAAGAAATTTGAGGATTCCTCTCGACTTACATATAACCAAAAATTATAGCAAACAACAAAGTTATTAGAGAAACAGATTTCTTCAAGGAAGTAGGGACCAAATCAAGATACTTTTTTTCTTCTGGATAGATATTGAAACTGGAACCATCCATCGTCTAATTGATCATTTAGCAAATAGGATGGGTAGTTTCTGTATGAACAAAATCCTCTACCATACTAAAGTGCATTGCTTGGATAGCTATAATCCTACTGAAGTACAGCACACCTTTTACATTGAGGCTGTGATGATAAATCATAAATTCTAAGTTTAATAGACAGAAGGACTAAATTGAGAAGCAAAAAAATTAGCATTTCCTCCTTGTAAAGATTGCTGAATGATCAAAACTGGAATTAAAAAAATTACTTCGCGCAACCCAAACTGATAAATATGCAGATTTTATATCTTGCTTTTTGTTCCCTCATTCACCAAATCAAAATTTCACAAAAATGGCCAGAATAGATGCTCTGAATGTTGAAGAAACAAGAATGAAATGATGGCAGGAAATATATTGCAGATACAAGAATGTGTCGGACCTGACAGGGATGAAGACGATGTTGAAGAAGAGGAAGAACTAACCTTGATGAGTCGAGGAATTGCAGCGAGAGCACGCCGGAAAGAAGATGAAACCCAGGTCAGTCGAATGAGGTACTCTCCTAAGCACTACCACGCTCGAAAACGAAAATAGAGGAGCGGCGCAAAATCAAATAAGAGGGCGGAACGAAGTTAGATGCGGGAGAAAAATTTAATCTCAAAACTCTTCACTTTTAAAAAAAAAAATTGATAGAAAAATACACTAAATATCACATCTTATTTTCTTTTCATTTTTTTATGCTCTATCTAAATAAAAAAATTATTTTTTATATTTTCTTTCCATTCATATTTTTTCTCATCTAAATAGAGCATTAAACTTCATAGAACAGTGGCTTCAAGCTATGATACATGGAAAGTGATATGAGCATGGAATACGATACATATATGATACATTGATATTTTTATTTTAAAAAATATAAAATACAATACATTTTTAATACATACATATATATTTATAAAAAATTATAAAAATATTAAAAATATAATTTTAATTTAGAAAATATCCAAACTAGCATATATATATATATATAGTAATAATTATTTACAGTAATATCAAGAAAAAAATAATCATTAATTATATTTTTATTCAATTTATACTTAATTGCCTACCACTTAATCCCTACTAATAGATATAGTATCAATACCTTCTCCCCTTAATCATTACTTGTAAAAGGATAGGTTTTATATCTAGTTCATTAAAAGATAAGTTTGTCACTCTTAAAATTTCATTATCATCAAAGTCATCTCATTTATCTCCATTAATGTCCCACAATTTAAACTTGCCTTATTTATATTTTTCACTTTCTCTAGCCAAGAATCGCAAATTAATATAGATATAAACTAAGTAGTTTGCTTTTTTAAGATTCAACTTGTTTCTCTTCATTGAATGAATGAATGAGCAAATATTTCAAGTCCTTTTATTGAAGAATCATGTATCACCCACCAAGATTTGAAATATAATGTCAATCTATTTTTAATGGAGTCAAAAGAAATGTGAACTTGTAATCTTGGAGTGCACAATATGTGTTGAAAACTAATTTTTTTAAATTAAAAAATATTTCAATACTTTATAAATATGTATAAAAAAATATTAATATATATCAATGCGGATACGTGAGATAATTTAAAATATTAAAAGTTTCAAGCCTTTTTATCAATTCTATTTAAATACCCTAAAATATACCTAAGCCAAACGGCTAGACACTGAAACACAAAAGCAGGGCTTTAGAAGGGCTTTTTTTATTATTATTTTGTTGAAGAAAAGGATTGCGGACAATTTCAATTAGACCCAAAAAAATGTTCTTATTTAATTACGTAAATACCTAAAATGCCTTTTATTTTAACTAAAAAATATTATAATTAAGCAGTTCTCTCTTTTTTTTATCTCAACCTGTGCTCTTGTTTTCAAAAATATAAAATTAACTGAATATTTTGTTCAAAAATATAACAATAAAAAAATAATAAATAATATGTAAAATTTATCCTAAAAATTAAAATAAGAAATAGTAAAAAATTCTAATGTAATAAAAAATATAATAATTAATTTATTATTATTTCTTCCTTCCTCCTATCTGAAACCAAACACTTATCATTAAAATCCTTTTCCTCCATCCCTTATGTCAATTTTGGAGAGAAGGAAAGGTCAGGAGAGTTTGATTGGAAGTTTCTAGAAGGATGGAAATGTGAGGTGAGGGAATTGCTACTCGTTTCTCTTCTCTTATTTAGTTAGTATTTAAAAAATTAAAAAAGAAATGAGAAGAACACCTCATTATTTGAGATTTTTTTGAGAAAAGAGAAAAGAGAAAATAACTAATATTAAATGAATTACACACTTATTCTTTTAAAAATTCTAATTCTAAATATATTAAAAAACTTATACATTATATTCTTCTCTCTCTTATAATAAAATAAATTTTATAATCTTATAAAAATTAATATATACTTTTTCAATGTTTTAAGTTTTAATATTTTTTTCATTAGACAAACTGATAAAATATAATATTAATGTATTTATTCTTAAGAAAATGTATAAAATTTCTTATCCTTAAAATAAAAAATTAATAATTAATAAATCATAATATAACTATTTTTTAAACATATATCAAAATAAAAAAATAAATATAAACTTAAATTTAATAAAAAAAAAATTATCAACTTATTATTAAAAAATAAATACTCTCTACATTTAAAAATATAAGACATTTTTTAAAGAGTTAGATATTTAAAAATGTAAGATATTTTTAATTTTTTAAGGTATAATCATTGTTTTTTTTGTCAAAAGCGCTTCAATTAATGAATAAGTTTATATTTATTATCAAATGTTTAATAAAAATAAATATTAAAATATAGGATTAGTTTAAAAGTAGGTAACTACTTATTAAAAATAAATTAAGTTAAAAATACCTTATATTTTTAAAAAAGAGAAAATATTAATATTATATTTTAAAGAAAAAAAAAAAACTCTTTTACAATCAATAACGAGAATCATTAATTCGCTTCCCCTCAAGGCCGTCACATCTCCTTGTTTCTTTTTTCCTTTCTCCTTTCCGCTTTTCTCATTAGCCGAACATGCTCTAAACTTGCATAATAAAACAGGAAGAAAGAAAAATAAAAAAATAGATGGAAAACATATTTTCCCCATCATTGTTTCTCTAATTTTCACCCAGAATGTGCTTGGCTGACAAGGGGAAAAAAGATGAAAGAAAATGAGAGGAGAAAAAATGAATAAAAAATAAAAATAAAGGAATGTAATTTTTTCTCATTATACTTGACTTAGTAAGAAAAAAAAAAAGCTGTTAATTTTATATAACAATAATAACCTTAATAACTTTATTATTTATAAAAATGTTTATATATAATGAAATTTAATATTTTAACATATTATATATATATATATATAAAATTTTTGTCACATACAAAACCGTCTCAGTGAGAGGCATGGCTTTCGATTAAATCAAAAATTTCAAGTGGCGTGGTTTTGAAATTCTATATATAATATTCTTTCAATTAGTTTCAAAATCTAAAACCGATAGTTAAGAAAGAAAGAGAAATGAAAAATACATAATTTTTGGAGTGAGACAAATCCCAGTTAGGGAGTAGATCATCAGTTCAATGTATTTTGATAAGAGGTAGATTGGTTTGGTGTTGCTGCGGCCAGTGACGAATTCCAGGGCCCCCCACGTTTCAAAATTTCCTTTGAAAATGGTCACTTTAATTTTTATAGAAAAATGCCAAAATCACCTTTACTTACTTTACTTTTAAATAAAATTTCAGTCATAACTTCCCATAAAACAATTTCTAAATTCATCCCTGCAGCCTAACTGTGCAACTTCTATAGGAGAGGAAATGTCAATGAAAATTGAGGGAAGAAGAGGCCCCAACGAAAAATATCAGTGAGTAAATTTAAAAATATATTTTTTTTCTCTAAAATCTTCCTATAATTAGAGAGAAATATTGAAAGTAAGAGTATATGATTCCTATTTATTATTTTTTTTTACTTTTTTCTTTCTCTTAGTTTTCTTTCGATTGACAAACTGAAAAAAAAAAAATCACTTTTCAAGGGACTTTTCTATCCTGCCAAGCATTAATATAAGGGAAAATTAGAGTGAAATTAGGGTGAAAATATTTCTTCCTCTTGAATTTTCCACTCTATGCAAAGTTGCAAACACAGGTAAATCAGTAAGGCAAGAATACTAGGGAAAAAATTATTTTACTGCTTTTAGCAACTACGGCTCCAGGACGCGATGAAACGGCCGGTCTATGCAGGGCCTCCATTTTCATCAGTGCTTCTTGCGATCTGAGTCGTCTCTTGATAAATGCATCAGATCTCGCCTTTCCATGTTGCTGCATCCTGGCCATCGATTTTAGCAGAAATAATAATGATCCTCCCATTTTTCCTTTTCCTCTTCGGCATAACTGATACTGTGCACCTCCCATCCTTTTTTTTTTTGTTTTTTTTTTTTACAGGTTAGTCACTAAACCAGAGGGAGAGCAAGAAGGATTACAAAAAATTACAGTGGATGAAGCAGAGTTGGTCTCGATAAAGAAGAAACCGCTATGAGAGTGAAGAGAAGTCAGAAAAAGAAAATGGCTCAAACTAAACTCTCTGCAGAATAGCCATTGAGGTGCTGAAGGGGAAGTATAGAACGAGAGAACTGTGCATACAATATCAAGAAAAAAGGATTGGATGGGATGGGATGCTTGCAGACAAAACTATAAACTATTATCTTGAGATTTGAATTGGGCCAAAAAGATTCTCTCTCACACATGCCGGCTGTCTCCCACTTTTCTCCCTTAGATCCCGCAGAAGGTCGGCATTGTCTGAAATCTTGGCTTCTAGCTTGGGACTGAGTGTCGGTTGCTGCACGGCAGGTTAGAGGGGCAATTCTCTGTTTTTAAAAAACTAGCGAGCAACCCGTGAGATGCTGTGAGACTATTGGGTGTAATCAGTAATGATACTGTATTGAATAATTAGCTTGTAGATCAATATAAATTTTATAAGTTATTGCATGTTATATAAGTAAAAGAATATGCATTTTTTGTATAATAAATAAAAATTATATTGAAATTTCACACACAAAAATTAATTACTGTAAGGTTCATTAACAATTAAATTAAACTATATTGACAACACAATCAATTATCAATGCAGTTTAATTTAATTGTCAATGAACCTTGTAATAATTAATTTTTTTGTGTAGGACATTGTTGTAATTTTCCCTAAAAATAATGACATTTCTTCTTATTTTGGAGTGATTGAATTATATTCTAAATGCATTTATTTTGATTCCAAATTAAATCTAAATTATCCACATTATATTATATTAGAGGTGATAAGCACTAATTGGATGATTTTATAGAATTATGAGTTAAATAAAAGCAAGTAACATGATAAAAAAAGAAAATATAAGAGACTTCATATGAGGCAATACATGGTTGAAATAACTTTGTTTTTCCATGTAAAATCAAAAATACATCCAAAATCAAAGAGATGGTATGGTACACCATACACGTGAGTTTTCGTGAAAAAAGAATGGATAAAGTGAGAAGTTTTGAAGAGGGAAGTAAGTGATGCATAGTGTCAAGATTTGTAGAAGTGAATAATTAAAAACTTCAAATTAAAATTG